AAAACATGGTGATGCATACTGTTTTTAATCTGGCTTTAGTGCTTTTAGCCATGAAGCTACTCCTGATGGGAGGAGTTTGAGCTAGAATTTTGATCTAAAGAAATATATATATATATATATATATATATATATATATATATATATATATATATATATATTACTGCACAGATCTATTGTTGTAAAGAGGAAGCTGAGCCAAAAGGCCTTGCTCTAGATTTACTGGTCTTCCTCTCATCTACGGTCATAAAATCATGACTGAAAGGACCAGATCTCAAATAAATACAGCTGGGATGAGCTTCCTCTCCCTTACAGACAGTAGTAAGGACAACTATCAACCCTTTAATGTGTTTCACCATTTTTCAAGTTCCTCTCCTGTTCCCGAGTAGAAATATTTGGAAATTTGTAAAGTGTGCTAATAAAGAATTGCTTCCATTTCTAGAGACACACTTATTTTAAATCTCATCATGAAAATAGATATACTGTTATGTCAGTTTAATTTGAGATGCATCTAAATGGTTATTTTTTAAATTTGGATAGATATGTCCTTTAATTTAGCTTTTTATATTTTTCATTGGCCATAGTTAGCTCTCCTTTCTTCTCGTTTTTTTTTTTTTTTATACTGTTTTACTGCAGCCAACATTGGCTTTAGGCCTTTATTTGTCGTTTTAGTGAAATAGTAACATATGATATCATACAAGATAAATAGTTTTCAGTGAAAAGGTCAGCTTCGAGGAACCCTGCAGGGGGGAAAATAGCCAACACCCACATGGCTAAAATGAGCATTTCTTTGACAGCAGGCAGTGGGTTGTTTATTTTTAAAATGAAAACCAGCCTCCAGCAGTCAAGGGAAGGCAGCCCTCCAAGAAGATCTGTCGTAGGTGTGTTTACTAGGAAGGATACTCACTATTTGCAACCCACTAAATTAACAAATATTTTACAAATGAGGTACAATGTTTTGGTTATTTCTGTTTTCCTGGGACTTCCATTAATCTGCATTCAGCAGGACAGAGTACCTCTGACACTGGGCTGCAAACAGATGCATATTAGATCAACTGCTTTCTATCTGACAGTCAGGAACTATTAAGTGTTGGATTAGACCAGGGGAGTCAAACTGGTTCCAGAAAGGACCGTGTGGCTGCAGGTTTTCTTTCCAACCAAGCAGTAGCAGACCAGACTCCAGTCATCTCATTAAGTCAGTCCAATCTTAACATGATGACTTGATGAGATGAATGGAGTCTGGTGTGCTATTGCTTGGTTGAAAAAAAATCCTGCAGCTACACGGCCCTTTCTGGAACCAGTTTGACATTCCTGGATTAGACTATTATTGCAACGACTTAGTGAGGTTTAAATTAAATGGTCATAAAATATTATCTTGATTTAATTATTTGTGCAGGACAGCCGGTAAAGTGACGATGCTTCTTATTTTTTTTATTTCTATTTTTAAAAATATGTATATATTTTTATGGTTGGCTGATTGGATTTGTTTTTTTTTATTTCTTACTTAAACCTTGACCTCAGAGATCAAAGCCTTTTTATCTCTCGAATTCCAGTAAAGCTAAAAAAAAAAAAAAATCCACTGGACTTTGTTTCCAACTTTGAAGACGTTTCGCCTCCATCCAGGAAAATTTTTCAATTCAAAATTCATTTTGAATTAATTTGAAGCTTCCTGGATGGGAAGTGAAACGTCTTCAAACTTGGAAACAAAGTCCAGTGGATTGTTTTTTTTTTTTTTTTTTTAGCTTTTTTGGAATGACTATGACCTGGATGACTTAAATTCTTCACCAGCGCATCTCTAGAATATTTTCTCTCTTTTAAATCAACATCTGCCTTCTGTCCTGGCCAGAGACAGGCGTAAAAATAATAAGAAAATAATTAAAAGTAACTTTAAATCAAAGTATACCAGGGATCTGAACAGCTTGGGAGTTTAGAAAATAGACTCAATGAGGCATGAGAGGTTATCTCAAAATCTTAATTTCATGTCAGTGGTGTCAAAAGTTCACACATTTGTTACTTAAGTACAAGTATAGATTATGCAGTAAAAAAAAAAAAATATGGTAAAAGTTGAAGTATTAACTTGACCTCTTTACTCAAGTGAAAGTGAAAAAGTATGTGCTCCAAAAACTACTTCAAGTATAAACGTATAAAGTAACCTTTAAAAAAACAGCCAGATGCCACTATATCAATTAGTAAGCTCAATTTTTCGACTATTTTTGAAAAATTCTTTGAGATAGGACCAAGGATGAGGGAGGTCTTGTTGGTCTCCGTCTCTCGATACGCTCTCGCCTGTGTCCGACCTTTCAGACATTTCAACATCTTTTTCTGAATCCTACATTGTAGCATGGCATAGACAATTCACATTAGCAGTTTGAAGAACACCTGCTTGCTTCTGATGATTTCCTTTAGCTAACCAATGAGTGTTTGCGTTATATGACTCATCCAATGACACTAGTTTTCACTAGATGTGGATGGAGCCAATGATCTACATTGGATGGAGCACATGACATGAAATAAATATTTATGAACATTAAACCGAAGCCAAGAGTAACGAGTAACATTTGTTTTAAAAATGTAAGGAATAGATCCTGAATAGTACAGATACTTGTTTGAAAATGTAATGAGTAGAAGTCAGAAGTAGGAAGACAAAGAAGTAATGGAGTAAAGTATAGATACCTAAAAAGTGTACTTAAGTGCAGTACTTGATACCTCTGATCTCATGTCAGTGGTGAAAGTAAGTCTGTAAGTCAGGTCCTGCAACTTTTATAGAAATATTGATGTTCTCCTGTATGTTTTTTTTTTTTTTAGGATGTTTGCAAACTTTTTAAAAATCAGTCCAGCTGCATCTTCATAAAAACCATCAGCATCTTTGTCAAACTAGTAATTTCTGAACAACGCAAGGATTCCTTGGTTCAAATAAAATATTTCTGGGTAACCAGCCAGTAATTAATTAGAAACCCTTCCTATGATGTGATTCTGATTTAAATTTGTTCACACAAAGATTGTAATTAGATTATTTGGTGTGAAATTCTGACCACATTTTTTTTTTTTATTTCTTCAGTAAAAAGTAAAGTCTACCTGAAATCAAGTTTCATGATATTTTATATCATATTATATTGTTTATTAACATAAGGCATCTTGATCTGCAGCTTACTGAACATACGATAAAATGCCTTAAGTTATTCTAAAAATATTAGAAAATTTAAAACAATGGAAACAAATCAGCCTTTTTTTTTTTTTGTAAATATATGGGTAAAGGCATTAACATGTTTTTGTTTTTCTGTCAGTAATGGTTTGGATCAAAAGAAGAAATAAAATCTGTCTGTGTTTTTATTCCTCCTCATATTTCTTCTTTGATATTTTCTACCACCTTTTTGAAAATACATTGTGATTTTATGTAAATTGAGTTATTTTCAATTAGTTTAACTAATCATTAATTTGTTAGAATTGTATTTTTTCTTTTTTTTATTTATCTGAAATGAGATCAACTCCTCTGAGGTTTAAATCTAGTATTGTGAACATATGTCACATTGCACTTAATAAATATATATATATATATATATATATATATATATATATATATATATATATAATCTGCCTTTTTAAAGATGTCTTTTGGACTTCAGCTATTGTAACTTTTAACCTGAGTAAATCTGATCAAATAGTGTTTTATGGATGAATTAAACAGTGAGCATAAATTTGGAGTTTCTGATGATCTAACTAAACTTTTCTCTCCAAGTTGGTTGCAGTTTTTTTTGTTTTTTTTTGTTTAACTGTTCCTTATTTGCTGCTTAACATTTTTAGTCGTCAAGTCAAAGTCATTCCAAAAAAGTAAAAAAAATAAATAAATTGCACTTTATTTTGGGAAAGACACCCTGGGAATAATGCGAGTATGAGAACAATATAAAGCTTTGAACTAAATGCTAATTCTGACATTTTGAATCGAAAAAGCTTCCTGGATGGGAAACAAGGGAAGTCCAGTGGATTGTTTTTAACTTCTTTGGAATGTTCCTTATTTACTGTAATATTCAGAAAGATCTTTCTGAACTACAAATAAATGTGACCGCACAGCTCATTAATAAATGTGATTAATTTTAGCCTGTTAGTTTAGTACCAAGCCTAACAAAGTGTAATAAAGTTTTGGGGAGGAAAAAATTAGGTGCAGAGTTAAGATTTTATTTAAGGAATCACTTAGGAGATTAATCATTTTAAAACAGTCACCTATATCGAATGATTAATTATTGATTTAGTTTTAAAATCAATAAAAATTTAATAATTTTTTTTTGTTTTATTTGTGCTCTGAATCAGATCTATATGGATTTTTTTTTAGGTATTACTACAGACATTTACAGCAATATGATTGAAAGAATATGATTTTGTGGACTTTCTGAAACTGATAATTAAGGATGGCGTTTGTGTTGATGTTAAGAAGACCACAGCAAGTGTATGCTGCCACCTAGTGGGAAAACTGTTGATAAGGAGCAGAAACTGAATAGCATTTCATTTAATTTATTAAAATAGCTTAAATATTTTAACGTCAATAATTTAACTTTAGGAATTTCAATAGTTTTTTTTTCTTCCTGTCTTTAAATCTTTATTCTTTCTCTCTTCTCAGGACAGCAAAGAGCAGAGGGACTGCTGCCTCAGTGAATCCTTCACTTCTCCTTCCTGCACTCTCGGCGTTGACCTGCGTCGGGGCAGACGGCGATTTTCGGGTAACTTGCAGCTGCCCCCCTTGTCCTGGCGTCAGGGAGAGAGATCCAGAACACCGGACGATGAGATCATGACCAGGCCAACATCTCTGCCTTTCGGGGCTCCTCCCAGAATAGATATCACACCTGTGGACCCAGAATGGTGAGTGAACTGATGCTGCACTGAAACAAGCTTTTCCTCTTGGGTTGATTTAAGAAAATACAGGAAAAATTTGGTTTTGGTGGTGGTGTTCTGGTGTTTTTATTTGTTTTTCTGTGAAAAGCACTGTCCTGGGTGGTAGAGAAAGAAGATGTGGGTTGAGTCAATTGTCTGACAGTCTTATAACTGAAGAGATGATCAGTAAGCAATTACAGATATAGATGTAGAATGTTTGTAATAATCTGGTGGCCTGAGTTATTTCTCCCTTGTCTACCTGAGGCAGTTATGTGTAAAAAAATATATATATATATGTATATATGTGTGTGTGCTTGTATGTGTGTTCATCAGTTTTGCATTTAAAAAGTTTTAATAAACAAAGGAAGTTAAAGAAATTTTGATACTGAAAGAACTTGGTACGTTTGCTGCCACTGCACACCATGTACAACTTACATTATATTACGAGGAGTGGTTTCTTAGTTTCATGCACTTAGACTTGTGTTCCAGTCAAAAAACAGGTAGCATACTGTAAGTAAACTAAACTGAATGCTGAACAAAAATGGTGGCATCTTTTTTATTACCAGTATGTCTGATGCATGTAGTTCAAAATACAAATCTTGACATAGCAGAACAATGAACAGTTGCATTCCTATTCAGGTGTAGATACACAGAGCTGCGGCAGGTTATTGTAACACAAAATTATATATTTAGACAAGTCTAAGAAGGGCCTTACTAGCTTAATAAGTAATTGCATGAGTATAGATCTGTGTTTGCATGTGATTGTGGTGTTTAGGTAATCATAAACGTGTTTTTGAAAGTTTGCTCATGATCAGTATCAATTAGCTCTGCTGTCAAGGTTGTGGGTAAGGTAGAAAGTTCAGTGATCATTTAACTTGGATGTGATCAAAGGAATGCTGTTCATTCAATACCTTAAAGAACATGTTCCATATTTACATGTAGATGCATCTGTTATTTCTGAATTTCTGGGAATTAATGTTGCATCTTTAATGCGTTTTCAGAAGCTGCTTCTTTCCAGAGTAACAGCGTCAACACTAAGACTAGTAATTTTTAGAAACAAAAAGATTAAGCCCGAAAAAAGTAGTTTAAGACGGAAAAAAGTGGACTATTCTGCTCATAAGCTGATGTATTGTGCATCTCCCAAAAAAGCAGATATTGCTTTTGATTGTTAAAGTGCCTGATGAGCTTTTTTTTTAATTCATTAAAAAATTTAGTCTTGAACTGTGTTGGGACCTCTGAAGAGATTATTAAAAGATCTATCTATCTATCTATCTATCTATCTATCTATC